TCCCTCTCCCTCCTTCCTTCCACATAGCACCTACTCCATGCCAGTTATGGGGACACAAGACACAGTCCCTCAAGGAACTCAGTCTAGTGTAGGAAACAGACTTGTCAAAATCACCCAAAAATGCAGCTGGAAAACTGGAGATGTGACAGATGCTCAAAGCAGAGGCACACAGTGCTCAGGGGGTCAGGACAGGGGCCCTGAGAAAATGATGCTTGAGCTAAGAGCAGAAGGATGAATAGAAGTTAACTAGGTGAGAAGGAGGAGAAAGATGTTCCAACCTGAGTACAGAACATGTGCAAAGGCCCTGTGGTGGTAACCAGCAAAGCAGGTGTGAGACTGAAAGGAGATGCGCTAGTGTCAAGTGTCAAGCAAGTGAAGCAGGTGAGAGAGGCAAGGTGAAGCCAGAAAGACTGCTGAGCCAGACCATGCGGGCTTCATGGGGCAGGGCAGGCTGGGCAGGGGGGGCAGTGGTACTCACAATCTCCCACATGGACTGGGCTGGCATGCAGGAGTCGCAGTGCACCAGGGACTCTGTAGACTGTGGGAAGGTGTTGGGAACACTGTAGCTGAAGCACTGTCCTAGGCACGCTCTGTGGGAGGAGAGGTCACCAGGCCCTTGTCATTGTGGCAGAGACAGAGATGGGCAGCCCGGCCCTCCTCCCTCCTGGGCCCCTGTTCTCCCCTCCACCCATCCCCCTGGCCCTCACCTGTTCTGGATAGACTTGGCCTCACAGCCGCTGTGGCCCACGATCTGGGTGATGTTCTTGGCCTCGCACCAGGCACTCTTGTCCGGAAACAGTGCCAGCTTGTTGATGGGCGGTGGAGCAGCCAGCAGCATGGTGGGGAGGACAGCCCCCACCAGAACCCGAAGCATCATGCCCGTGGCCTTCAGAGCCCTAGAACTGAGCACAGACTGCGGGTGAGGCCAGCCAGGCTCAGGAGGCTGGAAAGAGGTGGACGGTGGTGTTATAAGCATGAGCTCTGACATCTCACTGCCGGGGTGCAAATCCTAACTCTACCACTTACTAGCCAAGCACAACCTTGGACAAGGTATTTCTCCCTTATGAACCTCAAAACTGGGGCTGGTAATAGTATGTGCATCCGATGGGTGTCATGAAGATTAAATGAGGCAGCCCTGGCTGGTGTGGCTCAGTTGGTTGGGCGTCATCCCGTGTGCCAGGAGGTTGCCAGTTCGACCCAGGTAGGGGGCATACAGGAGGCAGCCGATGGATGTTGCGCTCTCACACTGATGTTTCTCTCTCTCCCTCTCCCTCTTCTCTCTCTAAACATCAATAAACTAAAATAAATTTTTAACGATTAAATGAGGCACTACAGGAAAAGCTCTCAGCAGATAACGCACACTCTATGGGTCAGTTATTTTTATAACTTACTAGGTAGCTTTGAACAAATTACTTTTACCTCTGTGCCTGTTTCTTCGTCTGAAAACGGGGATGGTAATGCTGTGTACAGCGAAGGATTGTTGCTAGTACTCAACAGGACACTAAGTTCCAAGCACATGTTGAACTCTGATGTTGTGGCACCTCTGGGAAAACCCAAAAAACTGCCCACACAGTGCACGCCCTGGAGGGCTGGCCATCCAGCACGTCTCTGGACACGCTGCTACAGCTGTCAGTATTCTGATGTCAGGAGAGCTAACCTCCAACTTCATGGCCCTGTGAGCTCTTGGGCCACTTTAGCTTGCTGGACCTCTGGTAGAGACACTAACCCCCAACTAGACTGTATTTCTTTTTTCTGGATGTCCCACCAAAGCCTCGAGCCCTAGGTCTACACACCCAGCATTATCCTCAGCTCCATGCTAACCTGGGACAAGCAGGTGACAGTCCAAACCAAGCCATTGATGCTCAAGACACTAGAACAATACTGGGATTGGCCAGCAGGTGGCGCTGCAGGGCAGTGTGTCCCACAGCTTCAAGCAGAGGGGACTCTCCCACTGTTCCCCAACTTCATCTTCTGTAGGTTTCGCCCACTGCCTCACCTCAAAAAATGTAGAGGAAGGCTTTGGGGAGATTCAGAAAAGAGGGCAATGCCCACAAGGAGAAAGGGCGCTGGACAGTCAGGAGTCCACATATGCTGGGTGACCCTGGCCACTCAGGCCTCAGCGTCCCCGCATGAAAGATGAGGGAGGTGCCCTAGACCACCGGTTTCTAAGCCTGGTGGATCCTCAGAATTCCCTGGGGACTTGAGGAGTGGAAGTTCTAGGATGGGTGGGAGTCTGCAGTTCTAACAACCTCCAGGATGGTTGTGATATGCAGCCAGGCATGGGAACCAGTCCAGCTCAGTCTAGGATCCTGTGTCTTGGGACAGTCCCCAGAGGGGCCTGGGTGGGGCTGAAACAGGAGCAGGGGTCAGGTACTGTCTATGGGTCCCACAGACCCCCACACTAATGTTGGGCTGGCTCGGAGCTGGACATCCGGTTCAGAACATCCCTCAGCCCACCTTCTGCCTAAAGTGGCAGGTGTTTTATACAGTGTCTGGGGAGGGGGACCTGCTGTGGGTCTTGCCTGCTCCTGCAGTGAAAACTTAAGGGGACTGGCTCAGCTGGGCTTGCAGACAGGGCCCGCCAGCCTGCAGGGCTGGGACCTCCTCCACAGCACTGGGCTCTCTCCATCCAGCAAGTCCCCTCAGCTCCAGGGGGGAGGCGGGAGAGCAGGAGGTGAGCCCCGACAGCCTGCCCCCATCCCAGATGAGTCTGTGTCATGGCCAGGCTCTCACCCACACGTTTCCGGTCTCGCTCACAAGATCGACAGCGAAGTCCCTGTTTTTAGTATAACCACATCCTAACAAAATAGAATGGACTTGTTCCTAACTGGCAACCTAGCTAATTTTTCAACAGGCTTAGTGTCCAGGAGGCTTCCTCACTCCTTCCTAACGGTGCTCGTCTGTCCCCAGGGAATTAGCCTGAGTCAGGGTCTGACCATGGCTGATGAGAAGAGGCCCAGAGACCACCTAAGGCCAGAGCCCCCTGGGCCTCCCCAGGCTGGACTGGCCCCCTAGAAACCTCAGAGAAATCCAGGGACTTCTGTCCTATACCTGACCCCATCACAATTCCTCAGGAAGGTCAGGGTGGCGACGGACAGGGAGTGACTTCAGGTTTCCTTAGGATTTGGAATTGAGATTGGGATTTTTAATGAAATCCTGGAGATGAGCACTGGGGTCTGAGCTGGAGTTGGAATGAAGAGAGGTTAACACTGAGGCTATGGACCAGGATGATGCTAAAGACGAGTAGAGATTGGGGTTGAGGTTAATAACATGGTTTACTGGGAGATAACAGTGAGTGTTTTAGGGGAGTCACTGGCCAGAGGACAGGGACTGATTATTAGGGTCACGCTGTGCAGAAGCTGAAGAAAAATGAGATCAACTGAGGCAGAAGGCCACCTCCTTGGTCTTCCTCCTTTTCTGGTATACAGCTAAGAGTTAACCCTAAGGGCCAGCTGTGTCCACAGAAGGGACACAGTAACCCAGCTTCTCCCCAAGCCCTGGCCAGGACCTTAGGGGAAGAGCCTGGGCCCTCCCACCTAGGAGCTGTGTGACTTTCAGAAATGAAGTTCACCTCTCTGTACCCACCTACGTCAACCCTGGAATGGGGAGCAGAGCACTTTCCTTGGAGAACTGGGAAGATGCAGTGAGAGCACCCAGTATCCGGCAGGCACCAACTCAGGCCAGTTCTCTTCTCCTGGGGGATCATGGGAAAGGCTTGGGCGGGCATCAGAGCCAAAGCTGGGCACTGGGGCAGGAAGGAGGCAGGGAGGAAGCCAGGCCACTCTCTCCCACAGACACACCCAGGACACATCCACCCTCCTCCTGCCCTCACACCCAGCAACCAAGAACCCCTGCTCCCCAACACACACACACACACACACCTCACACTGACTGGGGTGGGCTCTTCGCTAGGTTTAATGTTGATTTATCCTATTTTTCTTTTTTTAAGCAACAACTCAGCTACTTTTTTTTTATTCAGCAGCTGGACCTTCCCTCCTGAGACTTGAGAGCCTCACCCACAGATTCTCATTCCTTCCTCCCCACCCAGAAAGTCACACAGCAAGTCACGGGACCCTCAGTATACCAGGTGGGAAGGGGGATCCCCGCTTGTCCCAAGGCCCCCCCAGCAAGTCAAGCCAAGCAATGTCTTTCTCCTGAGTCATGTGGTTCCCTGCAGTCCACACTCATTTACTGAGCAACTTCTAGGATGGCGGGGGTATGGGCAGGGGAGCCAGGGTCCCAGGCTCTACCCACTCAGGAGCTCAAAGCCTAGAGGGGGAGGGAAGTGGGTTAAGAGGAAGCTGTTTAGAGTAGGGGCAGTGAGAGAGGGTTGTGGGGGGCAAAGTAAAGATGCTTAATTCTGGATTTAATCCAGGATCACTGTTAGTTACCAATGGTGGGGACAGAAAGGGGGCTCCTGGCTGAGGGCACTGCCTGGGCAAAGGCCAGGAGAGGGGATTTATCCCTGTCAGCCCACACAGCTAACTATGGATTGGGCACCAACCACTCTAGGCGCTTTTACATAAATTCTTTTATTCAGTCCTCACAACAACTCTATGCGGTAGAGACTCTTATTTCCCCCGTTTTATAGATGAAGACTGGTCACGGAGAGGTTGAGATTTGCTTGAGGTTTACTAAAAAGTAAATAGTGAACAGGGATCTACTATTTACAGCTCCCTCTGCGCCTCAGTCCTGAGGACCGAATAAATGAGTCTATGTGCAAGTGCTTAGAACTCGGCCTCACCCGCAGTTAGAGCCCGTGGGTAGTAAAGGGAACTGAGGCTTCAACCTGGGCAGCAGCAGGGTAACTAACCACCAGCTACTCTGCAGATGAAAAGGGCACAGGAGAGGAAGGAGAAGGCGGCCGGTCTGGAGTGGGCATCAGGCCTGGGGCTCCCTGCCCCTGCCCCTGGCCCAGCCACTGTGTCTCACTCGGGTGCTCAGCCACCGCCTGGCTGGGAAGCTTGGGAGCCCCTCAAAACGGGATTCAATGCCCACTCCTGGCTCCCCTGCAGATGAGCTCATGGCTACGGCTGACCCCTGCTCCTCGGAGCCTCGGAAAGGTACGACTCTGCCCTTCCTCGAAGTTGAGGGGAGGCTTCAGCGAGGGCCCCCACAGCCCAGGGTGGGGCCTTCTTACCACCTCAGGGTCCATTCCCAAACCCAAGCCCGCGGATCCTCCGAGGCCTCGCGCAAACACTCCACACATTCTGAGGCTGCCAACAACACAGAAAGGAAGTTCCCCAGGGGGACCCTGGCTGACCCATTCCAGCACTGTGGAAACTGAGGCACAGACCAAGAATGTGGGCCGCCGTCTGTCCCACACCGGGAAGGGGGCAGTGAATCAGCAGGAGACCAGCCTTCCTAGCTTCCTTGGGAAGGGCTGGGGGCAGGGAGCAGCAAGAACGCAGGCTTCAGGTCAGGACTCTGGGGTCCTTTACGTTTCCACACCAACCAGAGCCACCCTCTTCCCTGAGATGCTTGTCCCAGCCCTGGACATTCTGACCCCAAAGATCTGGGCATCTGTATGGGCTCCCATGCGATCCTGAGGCCTAGGCGGGTCGCGAGCCAGAGCCCAGCTCCCCAAGGAAGGGGCCCCCACCCCAAGGCCTGGCTCCTAGAGCCTGGAGTCAAGTCTTAAATTCATGGGAGGGGCCCAGGTTTCAAGAGAGACCTTGGGCCCACCACCACCCCTCACTGTGAAGGCCTTTGTAGAGCGAAGAGTCGATTTTGTATAACAAGTGAACAGTCGCTCCCCACTTCCTTTGTGGGGTAAATCTGAATATGCAGGGTCACTGAGGGCCAAGCACACCAGGATTTTCTGGGTACAAAGTAACCACTCACCCTAAGCCCCTCCCCTTTACACACACACAGGGCAGGGTCCATTCACAACTGTGAAAGACCCGAGTTCCCATCAGAGCTCAGCTGCTTTAACCTTTCTTTGTTTCAATTTCCTCTTTTGCAAAGGGGGGGGCAGTGATAATGCTCACTCCACAGGGCAGTTGTGCATGGAAACCTCTGGAGAGGGCCGTCATGGGATCAGTCTTCAGTAAATGTCACCAATAGTGCTAGCTTGGAATCACCCTGGCCCACGCACTCTCCCTGAACTCTGCCCAGGCCCGCCCCTCTGCCTC